GATATTCTAGACTTTTTTATATAGATAGATAATCAAAAGCTCTCTGAAATATTTACTAATAAAAATGAGAATTTAATAGATGTTAAAAAGATAATTGAGAAGATCATTAATGTATTGAAAAATATTTTAAATAATCCTTTTGGTATAGAGGATTATTCAAAAGATGCTTATGAAAAGTAAAGACTAAATTTAATTAAGATTATAGCAGGTAATAAGAAAATAGTTGATTTTTTAAAATTTTAAGTCTAATTAACTAGTATTGATGAAAAGTTTATTTAAAGTGGATCTAATGCACTAAATTTATTAGTATAGATAAAAGAAGATCTTAGTAACCACTGTTTCGAAGACATAAGAATAAGGAATACTAATTTGATTGGAGCTAGATTTGTAAGATGTAACTTAAGTGGATCTGAATTTAAGAATGTGGACATTAGTGGTGTCAATCTTAATGGAGCACTACTCTTGAATTGTAATTGGAATTAAATTAATATTCATGAACTAAATTATTTGCAAGGACATTAAGGCCCAGTCTCATAAGTATGCTTCTCACCAGATGGAACTACTTTAGCATCTGGTAGTAATGATAAGTCAATCAGATTATGGGATATTAAAACAGGATAATAAAAATCCTCATTAGATGGTCATGCATCTTTTATCAACTCAGTATGTTTCTCACCAGATGGAACTACTTTAGTATCTGGTAGTGATGATAAGTCAATCAGATTATGGAATGTTAAAACAGGATAATAAATAGCCAAATTAGATGGTCATAGTGGAACTGTCTATTCAGTATGCTTCTCACCAGATGAAACTACTTTAGCATCTGGTAGTTATGATAACTCAATCAGATTATGGGATGTTAAAACAGGATAATAAATAGCCAAATTAGATGGTCATAGTGGAACTGTCTATTCAGTATGCTTCTCACCAGATGGAACTACTTTAGTATCTGGTAGTGATGATAAGTCAATCAGATTATGGAATGTTAAAACAGGATAATAAATAGCCAATTTAGATGGTCATAGTGGAACTGTACGATCAATAAGCTTCTCACCAGAAGGAACTACTTTAGCATCTGGTAGTGATGATAAGTCAATCAGATTATGGGATGTTAAAACAGGATAATAAATAGCCAAATTAGATGGTCATACTAATTGGGTTTATTCAGTATGCTTCTCACCAGATGGAATTACTTTATCATCTGGTAGTAGTGATAAATCAATCAGATTATGGGATGTTAAAACTGGATAATAAAAAACCAAATTAGATGGTTATTCATCATGTATCATCTCAGTATGCTTCTCGCCAGATGGAACTACTATCGCATCTGGTAGTGGTGATAACTCAATCAGATTATGGGATATTAAAACAGGATAATAAAAAGACAAATTAGATGGTCATAGTGATTATGTACGATCAGTTTGCTTCTCACCTGATGGAACTACTTTAATATCTGGTAGTAGTGATAAGTCAATCGGATAATGGGATGTTAAAACTGGATAATAAAAAGCCAAATTAGATGGTCATAGTGGATCTGTACGATCAGTATGTTTCTCACCAGAAGGAACTACTTTAGCATCTGGTAGTGATGATAAGTCAATCAGATTATGGAATGTTGAAGCTGGATAATAAAAAGCTAAATTAGATGGCCATAGTGGATCTGTACGATCAGTATGCTTCTCACCTGATGGAACTACTTTAGCATCTGGTAGTGATGATAAGTCAATCAGATTATGGGAAGTTAAAGCTGGATAATAAAAAGCTTAATTAGATGGTCATAGTGGAACTGTACGATCAGTATGTTTCTCACCTGATGGAACTACTTTAGCATCTGGTAGTGGTGATAAGTCAATCAGATTATGGGAAGTTAAAACTGGATAATAAATAGCCAAATTAGATGGTCATAGTGGAACTGTACGATCAGTATGCTTCTCACCTGATGGAACTATATTAGCATCTGGTAGCGATGATAAGTCAATCAGATTATGGGTAGTTAAAACTGGATAATAAAAAGCCAAATTAAATGGTCATAGAGGAACTGTGCGATCATTATGCTTCTCACCTGATGGAACTAATTTAGCATCTGGTAGTGGTGATAAGTCAATAAGATTATGGGATGTTAAAACAGGATAATAAATAGATAAATTAGATGTTCATAGTGGAACTGTACGATCAGTATGCTTCTCACCTGATGGAACTACTTTAGCCTCTGGTAGTGATGATAAGTCAATCAGAATAGGGGATGTTAAAACAGGATAATAAAAAGCCAAATTAGATGGTCATATTGGTCCTCTCTTATCAGTATGCCTCTCGCCAGATGGAACTACTTTAGTATCTGGTAGTTATGATAAGTCAATCAAATTATGGGATGTTA